GACGAAGTAGACAGAATTTGTGTGGGAACGTCGCGAAGTGCATTAAAGTCTCGTCGGGGTGTTCCGGGTGCAAAACTTACTCGGGCAAGGACTCTCGGTTCGTGTCCGCGATGGATCCGATGGAAAACTCCGGCGCCGCTGAATCCGCCTCGGGGGCAAACTAGACTCGTGCCAAATGGAGTCAACGTTTTCGCTAACGTGCTTCGCTTTCTCGCGGTACGGGAGGCACGGCACGAGAGTGGAAGAGGATAATGGGGGTTGAGCGGAATGCGAGGCGATAAACAGGTGATTGCGATGCTCCTCGACAAGAAACAGTCGAATCGACGTGGAGCGTCGGTAAATGGAGGTAATTCTCGATAGACTAGTGGTTAACGTGATACCCGATACATGACTCTCCGACACTGTTCTCATCTTTCGTTGGTGATAGGAAATTCACTTTGTAATGAAATTAAATAAAAATATTGATTTTTTTCAATAAGAAAACAGGTTTTTTTTAGTAAATTAATAATCAACATATAAACTATATAAATATATATTGTTTATATTTCAATAATATTTTTTGTATCATTATATTTTCTCTTTTAGTATAATTATCAATAAATACTTTGTGGTCTTCTGTATATAAAATCATTGCTGTATGCAGTTAATTAGAAAAGAAAAAATATCCAAATTTAATAAATACCGCAAATATTTATTGTTTAATAGAAATATGTTGTATGTTTCTATTAAGCAATACATTGTATATTTCAATATGTTCTTTACCTATATTATATTTAATATAATTCAAAGATATTTAAATGTAAGATATTAAAATAAATATATTAAAATCTATCAATGTATCAGTCTAATTTATAATTTTTACGATTTTCCCGAGAAAATATATGCAATAAAATTAAATAATAATAAATGTAAAATATATAACAAATATAAAGAATTACACGGGGCTCTGATAATATAATATCATTTTAATATTCAAGATATTAAATTGAGGAATGGAAATTAACGCTTGAGAAATATGTATGTAAGACGAAAGAAAGTAGAATTTTCATATTTATTTTACGCTTTTCTCTCTTTCGTACTGTGTACCTAACAGTACGACAGTTTTCCAGATGCAAGTTGTCCGACATACGATTAACGGTATCCATAACGGATTGCGAAACAATTTGGTCACTGGAAAGAGGTCAGGCGCAACCTGTCCATTAGCTGTCCATTTGCCACGTTAGAGTATCCAAATCGTTCGCTTGGCGATTAAATACGAATGAAACTGTTCCACGGGGGAAAATCGTGAATTCCAATAGTAGGCCATTTTCGTCGATGCCAATGCGACCGTAAGGATATCGGAGTTCATTTATCTGAGAAAAGGATATGGACACTCGATCGAAGTGAAGCTTTCCAGTCTCGCGCGCTGTTGAATTGATTGAGTTGCGAACTCGATAGTTTCATTAACGAGGACTTTGCGCGAGATCGGTAATGAATCCCGTCAGCGGGTAGGTCGATATTACGTTACGTTGCGTTGCGTTTATCGTTTCGAAACTAAGCGGTATTATGCCGTATTAAACATTATGAATTGGAATATGATTATAATAACAGCCACGCATATGTCCATTGTATCTCTGGGCGTGAAATGTTATAGCGAACGTGGTAACGTGAGCCGCACCGAAATATTAATCGCTCGTATATCCGAAAATATTTGACGAAGTATATTGTACAGTGTAATTATAATATTCTAAAGTAGAAAATGTTTATACGTGTTTGCAGAAAGATTACAATGTGCCGCAAACCGCGATTAACGAAGCATCGATCCATAGTGCATTATTCATTATCGCTATACGCCGTTGCGCATCATTAATATCGTTTCAGACGATGAATTATTAATATGCATCATAAGAGAAGAGGAAAAAAAAAAGAGAGAAGAACGACGGATCTGTGCATGAGGTAGCTTGGAAGCGGTCGGTTAAAAAAGCAGAAGGCAATATATTGAGTATATTGGAAAAATACAGTTAATTGGTTTAATTGAAATTGTATGTTCGCGAACGTGAGTTCTCTGATGATATGTTGTCGATTACATTATCTTTTTTTCAAATTGCATAAAAAATAAATTGTAAAGTAACATTAATTTTTTATCAGCCTTATAACATTGTTTGGTCGAACTCAATCATTATTCCAATTATTCCATAGAGATTGTCTTATCAATTGGTAACGACAACCACCATCAAATAAATGACCTGTGATACCTTAGGAGATAAATTATGCGACACAAACCTAATCAATTGATAAATATTCGCTTGCAGACGTCTCTTCGAAAAAACTGTAATCAGTTATAAGAAATGTTACGTCTACAATAATTGTTGCATAAGAGGTGACGTAAGATAAGATTAGCTCTTCAGTCATTCAGTTACTGCACAAAATATAAAATATATATAATCGATTCGTTATAATAACTATTGTAAATTAAATATTCTGCGCATTCAAGTATTCATTTGAAAAAAAAAATTATTGCCGAAAGAATACGTTCTACATATAGAAAGATAAATAATTATATAAAAAAATAAAATCTTACTGCACACTTCGACTGTATTATTTACCTGCGTAAAAAGAATCGGATCTTTATTGTTTCACATGTAGAAAGATAAATTCAACTATATAAAAGAACAAAATCTTACTGCTTACTTCGACTATATTATTTACCTGCATAAAAAAAGAACCGGATCTTTATTGTTTCCTAAATCGGAAATGATCTGATCGATCTATATTTAGAGTAAACTGTCACTCCGAGATATATAAGCAGTTAATCGTGCGAAGGTGATCGCGAGACGCTATATCGTATACCGAACGCAGGCGGCTCTCGTGCCAAATCCGATTTGGAGCACAATCGACGTGGCTAAAGAAAGTTCAAGAGGTAGGTTATCGGCGAGAGTAATCACACCAGATATTGACAAATCACTTTTAAACCAGATTATCGTGCCAGTTTTTACAATTCCCTTAAATCTTCAAGATACAAAAAAAACAGACATTTCCTTCACAACGATTCTTTCAAAACGAGAAAGCTATTTTTTGGTCAGATGCATATTTTTCCTTTGAAATGTTCGTTCCTCACAAAAATCGTGCGAAACGTGCTTTATGAAATTCCATCCTAATAAGATTACACGACGATCGATCGTTTGGCCAGCGAATGAAGCACGTTGTTCATTTTCAATTATTCGCATTTTGGTCCATCTACATTCCGCGCGAGTATTACTTCGGCGCTATTGTTACATCGGCTATATATACGTTTCTACGTGAAAGCAAGGATTTCAAAGGTGCCGAGAACAGAGTTTATGCTTTTCCCATTATATGTTAAAAAGTTACTTTCGAACGGCGAGAGTCCCACTTGGAACGGTATGCTCGTCATCTTCGTGTCCTCCAATGACATACGTCCACGTTGGAAATTTCTGAGTCGCGCTATCTTTCTCTTTCTCTCGTTTCCCTTCTCTTTGCCCAACTGCTGACGTCATCAGCGGACACGCTATTTCGTATAACGGAAAATACTTTTGTCCTAATTTTGAACACTTGCGTCTTTTCTATCTTAAGGTACCTGTTCACGCTTTTCTACTCGTGCTATTACAGTTAAAATCAAAGTATTTTTAATAAATTAAATCTAAAGAAATTTCTGATTTAAATCTTATGTAAATCCAATTAATTCTCTATTTTTTTCATTTATTAATGCGTATAAATATTAAATATATATAAAATTATTATTATATAAGAATTAATAGTAATACTTATTATTTATCTAATAGATTGCTATTATCAGATTTTTATTATTAAATACATTTTTATTACCGTTACTAAAATATTTTAAGATTTACACACTTTTTTAAAACTTCATTTTAAAACTTTTTTAAAACTCAATTTTAACTATATTTGTTTAAAATAAAACAATTGCTATTAGATTTACACAAAAAATAAAGATTTTTTTTCTATTTAATCTTTTCTAATAACTTCTATCTATTTTCACGTTATTTTAAATAATTTAAATAAACAAACAATGAACTCTTTAACCATTGTCCAGAGTAACACGATCGAAAAAATAAAGAAATATCTCATAGAAATAATTCACAATGATAAGTGAGATCAATAGAGTTGCTATAATAGTTTGACTAGTTTGCTATTTATAGCTGTTCGATTATTGTGCTATCTATGCATTAATAACAGATTTTTATGCACTTCATCTTCTCTTTCTTTGCTAACTTTTACATATGCAATGAAATTACAGTTTTTTTTTCATAGTTGCTAAACAATTTAATTCGAGAGTTTTGCGATTTTTTTCAAAATCAGTACTTTTATCAAAAACCGGAATCAATATTTTTATCTACTAAACACGTGATGTCAAGAAATTAAAATACCAATTAACTATATCGGAGAATGTTGCATCATATTGTAAATATATATAAATTTATTGTAACTCTCAGTGGGTTTAATTTGCATTTTTTTAAAAGTAGCATGACATCATCAGCTGCTCTTTTATATCTTTTCCTCAATTCACTTTTTGTCCTACATTTGCGGTTGCCGCGATAAGTGCAGTTTTATTTTAAAATGTTTCATAAAAAAATTTGTTTCACATTCATTTTGTGCAGAAACTAACCGCGAGTACTTTATCAGAGGCAAAATGTCAAACTTGAACATTGTACGTTGAATACTACACTGAAGAAACATCATATCTATCATGTCTCTCAAAGACATTAAGTTCTTGTTACTAGCGCGTGACATCATCGTCATCGCGTTTCTCGCGAAAGACAGACATTCACAGACATCTGCACGGTTCTCCACTAATTCTGTTACATCAGCCTCCACTACCAGCGCACAATTTCGTTAACAGGCAAAATCTCATAGCCGACAAAATCGCTCGACCTCGCACTTTCCCTATACGCACTTGCCCTACATCACCAATCTATTTCCTACTTCAGTCTACTTGCCGTTCCCTACCGCTCGCCCGGTCTTTCGTGTGCCGTGTCACTGACCTTGAGTCGAACTTGCTGCCGTCCTGGAGCGTGCCGGTGTAGTGCATGGTCAGCTGGTCGCCCTTCTTCGACCTGACGTCGCATACCTCCGGCATATACATCTTCTCCACCTTGAGACCACCGCTCTCAGCGTTGTCGGCAGCCCTGCTGAGCGCCACAATTGCCACCACGAGGAAGAGGAGAGCGTAACGGCACATCGCGAGCACGGCACTCGCGCTGTTCGACGTACAGGGGACCATGTTCATCAGTCGACGGATGCTCGTGAGCAACTGAGTACTCGCGGAGTCGCGGCGTTCTACGAGCCAGCGACGAGCCACCTTCGGATCCCCCGCTCGTCCCAGAGCGACGGCGCCGTGGTCGGGACGGAGACCGGAGCATGAAACGGGGATCGGAAGAGGACGGAGCGCGTCCATGCCGCCACATTGCGCCGTCTCATTGGCCCCACGGAATATGTAGGTCTCTACCTCGGGAAAGTCCCTTTCTCTCTCTGCCGCCTCGCGGTGCCGCTCGCGATTTCTCGCTCGTCCCTACACGGGTCGTCTCTCCTCGTTTGTTTCATCTCGCATATATCTCGCTCTCCTGTCCTCTCTTCTCAGCTGCATGCTGCCTGCTCCACATCTCCGTCTTCTTCATGGCCTGTGTCCCCCGGAGTCGCGCGTCTTGCTCCGACCTGATTCCCTTCCTGCTTTCTCTCTCGCCGCCACGTTGCACTACTTCGTCCTTCCCGCGCTTACATACCAATATGTGGCACCGTCCTTCTTCCGCCGCCGCGCCGGTGGCGTATCACGGTGTCTGCGGCTTGCCTCGCGCTCGCTGTACCTTTCTCACTCGCCTATCAGGTCGGGTGTGTTCCCTTTCATCCCTTTAGTCCCGTCTTCCGCACCTCCTCGCATCGTTGCGTCTTTCCCCTCCCCCTCTCTTTTTTTACTCTTCCTCTCCCTTTTCCGCTCGCTCCATTCCCCTCCTTCACCCGCGGTTACCGATACAAAGAGAACACGCTTCGACTCTGCGCTCTGATTTTGACGAGACTCCGCAGGTGCATCGCGCAAATGCAAGTTCAATGAGAGAATGTATCGTTCCAGTGAATCAAATTAAGGGAATAAACTTTATCCGGAAGAAATGTTATTTCACCGGCACAACGAAAACCTATTAGAAACACGATGAAAACTTCGCTGAAATTTGCTCTCTCTCATTTTCTCTCTCTCTCTCTCTCTCTCTCTCTCTCTCTGCTGGGTAAATCATTTTACTCCCAAAGAGTAAGCTATTCAAATAAAGAATTTCTTTCGTATCCATATGGAATTTCGTGAAATTAACGTAGCAACATGATAACTACAAATTTTTTATTTATGCGTCCGTATTGGTCGTATTGGCCTCATCTGACAATTAAATGTCAGAAATTCAAGCAGCTATTAAAATACGATATTTTATTAAAATACAGTACAAGTGTGCCAATGCGAAAGAGAAACTTGCATTTAAAGCAAGATAAAGGACAGATATGTGAAAAATGCATTTGATTCTCATGCCTTTGGGATTTCATTTGATTTCGTTCACTTCGTCAAACGGAGTTATTCTCGATTTTTTCTCGGCTCAGCTTCCTTCAGCTTGTTCTCCTCGCGCTCTTCTTCAACGCTCTTCTTCAATCCTTGCCTTTCACATATCGTCCCGCGTATCCGTCTATCGCTCTTTAATTTCGTTCGCCGTCTCTCAGCCGCCGCACCTCGTGTTACATGTCAACCTGATCTCGTCGTTTATCACCGATGTCATCGCGCCACCGCTGCTGCTGCGGGGCGCATCCAAGCGTTGCAATGCGTTTCCTTCCTACGCGGAGAAGGATTTCGTGGTCGTTTCGGCAAGCGTATGGATGTCGCACCGGTCAAACTGGATGACCATTATTTCTCCTCTTTTATATATATATATATATATATATATCCATCAGAATTCCGGCTTAAATGTCTCGCTCGAAGTTGGAATATTAAACTGCGAGTTTTTAATCGGTTACGGTAACCGGCTCGAAAAAAACCATTCGCTTACGTGCTAACAGAATTCGTCTCTCGATGAATTATTTATGGGATATTTTACGTATTGGTATGTAAATGCGGCTGGCCGAGATATATACATCGAATTCGCTAACTGCTACAGCGGAATTTCCGGATAGCATTTGAATAGCGATACTCAATCGATTAAGGTTCGCTCTCGACTGAAATGGAATTTTACAAAACAAAATTTATATGTATATAAGTACGGGCATAAATATAGAAATGCTATTGTTAGCTGGAGTGGTGAGCGCGTTCAAATCAATGTATTTTATAAATCTCAAATTAATTGATCTATTAATTCTAAATTACGTTAAAATTATGATTAATTATGATATTACTATGATATTCATACCAATTTTTAAAATTATTATACATACATAATGTATATCTATTTTTCGATCAAATATATGCTTCTCATGCACAAAGTTCATACATATATAATATTTAAAAATTAAAATACCTAGAAAGTTTTTTACGTACATAATTTTGTTAAAACATACATAAATATAACATTCACTTATTCGTATATGAGTAAGATTCTCTTGGAAAGAATGCCACGTCGACGAATTGGGTTTATCGCAAGTCGTGCGTTTACGGTGCATCGTTTAGCAAATAATGGCGCATGATATGACGAACAGGCGCTTAATTAGCATTTTAAATAACGTTTTAAGATTGCACTTGTCAGTCATTACCAAATTGTTTTGAGCTTGACATTAAAGTGACTTCACTTACTTTTAGATATTCACATTGATCAACAAACATCAGAAATTAAAAATTCTGTTTTTCAGAGTTTGTAATTAAAACGATGTCAAAATAATTTCTTAAAACGTTAACTTTCATTGGAATCTTTATATTCTATACTACAACCTATTTATTTGAAATTATAAAATAAATTGAATCGGTTCAACAATACGAATTTCTAAAAACTAATTCACGATTTGTGTACCACTGAGACCAGTATAAAATTTCGGCAGCTACCTTCTCTTTGTGCACTTTATCTAGTTTTACTCTATCCTTACGTGGCTATGAAGTATATCTCACGTGCAATACGTGGCATGTTACACATACCTAAAACATATGGAATATTTTTATATAAACTTTTATAAGCTTGCGAAAATGTACAAGCGCCTTTCATATGCGCTTCGTAACCTTATTTTAGCCAACTCAATTTTAGAAAGAAGGCAAACCAAATGCGTGTATTAATAACAATAGCAATTTTATCGAAAGTATTAAGCAATTAATTTTATAATAATAAGCTAATAAGAAAAAAAATCATAAATACGTCTTTCAAAATAAAATACGAGGGTTCAAGATATCCTTCATTCCGATTTTATAGACGATATATTTTGAAGATAAGACGATGTTAGTTGCAAAATATATTTGCCTGTGCTTTTTTTGTATTTTGACGAAAGATAGGTAAACCCGTGTGCTCGTTTCACGACGACGACGATGCGGTGATGTGCAGCGAAAAGCGAAAAGTCGAGCGCCCTGTATACACACTCGTTACACATCGTGCGCAACGGACCACTCACGCCAGACCAAGTTTGCATCTTAAGGAATACTCGCAAAATCGCAGTGAACTCTTTGACTCCGACCTCGTCGTGTGATGCAACGGTTCGAATTACATTTCTTCATGCATACAAATCATAAGATTTGCAACAACATTGATTTGCCTGGTTTGGAGAAAAAGCTAAATTTAAAATGATATTATTTCCACAAATCGTATTATTGCGTAATATACGTTTAGCGATATTTGGAAAGCTACACAAGATAAAAAGTGTGATAAAACCAACGAAATTGTATAATCGTTATTTCAGTTATTTTAAAACGTTATAAAATATTTTAATATTACATAAGATTTTTTATTAGTATCTTAAAATATTTATATATGACCTCCACTTTGCAGATAATATTATTATCTCTTATTTCTTCAAGATATATCTTTCTTCATATTTTCTACATGAAAGATGTAAAATTTATTTCTTACTTTTTTTAATGATATTATAGTACCTGTATAGTTTCTTTATTCAAAACTTTCACGAAATTTTATTAAAAGTTTATTTAACTCAGTTATGTCTAAAATTTTAATGCAGTTATATAATTATGTTTATGTTAAAAAACGGTTGATAAACTTTTGATAAAATTTCGAATTTTGAATTGAGAAACTATATTGACGCATATTTCATCACTAAAAAAATACCAAATAAATTTTATTTTTTTAAATGTTCTTTTTTAATTGTTTTTTTTTTCGTCGAGAATATATATACATATACATTTATATATACATATCCTCAACAAAGAACAATTATTTCTCAAAATCAATAGACCTAAACGCAAATGCGGTAGGAAGTTCCAACAGCTCGTGTAACGACGCTTCCAACTAATCCTCGCTCCGGCTGCTTAACGCATGGAAATTAATAATGAGACAGAATGGAAATCCTAGAGCGATAAGCCCTGGATCTACATAACTCCGTGTGGATTATGCAGCGACGCGCAGCCACCAACCCGTATTGAACGAACGATCGAGGAACAAACACAGAATCGGTTCATTTAATCCACGATCGCAGCAGCTGCCTAGCTCCCCCCTCTCCCGAAATAATCAGAAATGAAGTCTTCTGGAACGCTCGAAAACTTTTTCAATATTTTAACGCATCAAAATAATTTAATCTGACCCTTTAAGATAATCTTGAAAAATAATATATGCATGCTATGTTTATTTTAAAGAATTTATTTAAAAAAAATTAAAATGCATAATATATTAGTATCATATAAAGTGCACTTAAAATATAATTCAAATTGAAAATGTATCAAACTTTCGCGTTTTACGCTGGCCGATTGTGTGGTATTCTCGTGAGATAATTGCACGTCTTTGACTTTAACGAATTTGTCGAGATACAGGGATCTCGTTCCACGCTACGTTAACTGATACAGCAACAGAATTTATTACGCGCACCTTCTTTTCGTACGTGCACAATTTCTCGCGTGGCTGTTTAGGCAGTTTATTCCCGTAGAGATTCGGCGACGGTCATCGACGAATAGTAATTGCTTGCAGGCCATCCTATCTAGTTACTTGAGAACCGAAATGTAGTTTAAACAACCCGTAACACGGTACGAATTCGCAGCCCAAAGTCTTGGTATTCGTGTCACGTCGATGTTGCCGCGCGATAGTACAATTCGCGATTTACTTCGAAATCGGTTGTCGAAGCTCTCGAGAGAATTGCAAAATGATTCTTTCTTTGC